TGCCCATGTCTGAGAACCTGTTAAAGCAGCAGTGTGTGCACGGAGACAAGCATACTCAATAACTATGTTCAAAGTAGACGGCACAAACAAGCAGGCCGAGGCCCAGTCGGAGATCCCAGAGAAGAAGAAGAAGCATAATAAGCTTGTCAGAGACGGCCTGAAGTACCAGCTGGATGCCCTCAAGAGGACACGCATGGAGCTGCGCAGTGCGATCGAAGCGAGCAAGAGCGAGGACGACACGAGGCCAGACCAAGGCGACATGGGCCAGGATGGCGAGCCCAAGCCGAGGAGGCCGGCTCCCACTACTCCATCGGCTGCGGCGTTGGGCTCCGCTGAGGCGGAGAGCGTGGTCCAGCAGCACGTCGGTACGCAGGCGAAGCCAGTCGCGCAGCAGATGACTCGCACGCAGAACCTACTCGAGGGATTCACGGGCACGAGAGGGCCCCCCGTCTCCAGAATGTTGGCCAATACAAATCGACTCCTCATATTTGAAATCGGTGTGGACGCCCGCGGGCCCCAGAAAGAGAACCCCGGCACCTCCGCCACCGCTGCCGACAGTTCCCCGCGCCATCGCCACGATCAGGAGCGCAGGGCAGGAGGGGCATTCATCGCCAGGCCATGGCGAAAGAGACGGCAGCCGCATTCGAGAGCACGAGTGACGGGCAGCACTCGTCCGGCGCTACTTCGAGAAGGAGGGGGGCGACATCGAGGAGCCCAAGCGCGAGAGCTTCCAGAGGGTCGGCAGCAGCGAGAAGGCCGGCCCCAAGCACCAACCTCAAACAGAAAAAAGGAGCCATGGCACCACCTGGTCAGCGCTGAGCCGGGGAGCAGAGAGCCGACATCCCGGCACAAGCGGAGGCAGCGCAAGCCTCAGGCGCGGCCCGGGAGCAGGTCGCCAGCGTCGGCTCTCTAGACGAGGACCCGCGCACCATGGACGAGCTCTGGGCGATGACAGCTGTGAGCATGACCAGAGACAAGCATTGAAATGAGCCTACCACATAAGGTTAAGTCGGGCCTGTCCCTTCTACAGGGGGAATCTTCAAAAGTAGTAAGAAAATAGTATAGGGATTATGTCGTGAGCATTCCATCAACCCCCGGGGAGCCCCATCAGCCCCCGGGGAGCCCCATCAGCCCCTATCAGGCCCCGGGGAGCCCCATCAACCCCATCAGCCCCATCAGCGTCCGGGGAGCCCCATCAGCCCCTGGGGAGCCCCATCAGCCCCATCAGCCCCCGGGGAGCCCCATCAGCCCCCGGGGAGCCCCATCAGCCCTCGGGGAGCCCCATCAGCCCCCGGGGAGCCCCATCAGCCCCCGGGGAGCCCCTATCAGCCCCCGGGGAGCCCCATCAGCCCCCGGGGAGCCCCATCAGCCCCCGGGGAGCCCCATCAGCCCCCGGGGAGCCCCATCAGCTCCCGGGGATCCCCATCAGCCCCATCAGCCCCATCGCACCGAGGGGGGGCGCCGGAGGGAGCGCTGGAGGGAGCTGCACATCCCCGGCGGTGGGGCGCCGGGGGGAGCTCCGCGGGTGGGGAGACGCCGGAGGGAGCGCCGGGGAGAGCGTCGGAGCAGCTCCCATCAACTCGCGGTCGGCCTCGGGTCCTAGGTGGCCCTCGAGCCGATGCCAAGACCCCCCTCCTCCTCCTCCTCCGCCTCCTCCTCCTCCTCCTCCTCCTCCTCCTCTCCTCCTCCTCCTCCTCCTCCTCCGCCTCCGCCTCCTCCTCCTCCTCCTCCTCCTCCTCCTCCTCCTCCTCCTCCCCCTCCTCCTCCTCCTCCTCCTCCTCCTCCCTGGTTCATCTCGGGGCGAGCCGCTGGGGCGCCGGCCGGGAGTCATGGGCCCCAGACGCTGGCAATGCAAAAAGCGTGACGTCGCCCAGATCCCCCGTGATGGTCGGGCCCATATCGACATCCTGCGCATGTGCTTTCACTGTGGCCGCATCCGCCTGCCAGAACTCCACGCACGTACGACGTGTAGGAGTGGTCCTCCAGCCCTCTCCCCACCGCTTCCCGCGTCTCCCCAGACCTGTGGCGACTCGAGAAGGTCGCATCGGAGTTCCCCCCCCCCTTCTCCGCCCCCGCCCGCACTCTCGCGCTGCGAGGGCCTGCCCGCGCGCAGCGTGCACAGACAGAACCGGAAAAATAGAAGGGTCGGGCCCTAATCGACATCCCGATCGACGGAGGCGATCAGATCGAGATGCAGAACACAGTGAGGCGGGGAAGGAGGCGTCCTCGAGCGATCTGAGTTAGGCCGGCCACCACTTCAGCCTGGAGAAGGGTGGGCGGGGGCGCCGTCCTCCAGCGCGCACAGCGAGGCCTCGACCTATGCCCAGTCTCTGAGGGCGCGCATGGACGCGTCACAGTTTTCGCTGACGGGTCCTTCGACGAAAATGAAGCAAAGACAGCAGCCTGGGCGATGGCAGCCATCGCCAAGGACAGAGACCGAACCTTCCTGCTTCTGGGGTGTAAGAATGGGAAGGCTCTTAGGATCCGCGGGGGGTCATGTTGACAGGAAAAGACTTGGCAGTGCTTCTCCTTGGATGGGGGGCATGATCTTGGCCGCAGTTTGGATCGGTATCCAGCAACCGTGTCTCGCCGAGAGCTTCTCTGTAAAGTCTGACTCTCCTTCCACCATCTCGCTTACCGAGGCGCTGCCCGGTCCGATTCGTACCCCGAGCGCGGGGGCCCCTTGCGCATTCTGGCGCAGGGGGCCCCGAGCCAAGCGCAGCAACAAGATTCTTAAGCGCGCCAGGCCCCGCCAAGCTCACCCCTGGAACGAGTTGGCGAGCAGTCTGTCGAAGAGCCGGCGTGCTTCATTTATGAATATGGCCCTGGCCCAGGTAAACAGCTTGACCCCCGCGGCGGTTGGAGCTTGGGTTGCTAGGTCGGACGCGGACCGTCGCGATTATCCCTCTGTCGCGAGCGAATAGGGCAACTCCAAGTTTGTGACCCCCGTGAAAGGCAATGGGATTAAAAAGCCTAGCGACATCCCTCCAGCTGGCGCCGCTGGTGGGGTCCCCGGCCCCCCCCCCCCCCGGCTGGAGATGCGAACTTGGCCGCAGCGAGCCTGCTCCACGATCGAGAGCCCACGCGGGGCTCGGGGGAGGCGCAATGCAAAAATCCGAAAAGAGATCCCCGTCGGTCACGACAGTTCGGGCCCGAAGAGATCCCCGTCGCAAAACGCAGGAGGCGAGGGCCCCAGCGGGGCCCAGGAACGCCGATCGCCACCACACCCTGGCCCCCGGAGGCGACGGAACAAATTTGGGCGCCGAAGCACGACTTTCGATTGCCACGCCGCGCATGGCACGGCATCAGAAGAAATGTTTTTTTATTTCAGAAGCGGCATTTACCAGCCCTGCACTCTGATCCCCTCAGGCTTGCATCGCGCGCCCGCGCCCCAGGGCTGCTCTTGAATCTCACGGCCCCGCGCGCGCGCGATCAGGGCGCCCAGCGCAGGGAGCTAGACGCGGGCGCCCTTCGTCTGCGGCGGGATGGGTCCAGTGCAAGTGCGAGGAGGACAGGTGCTCATGCGGCCGCTGCAGAGCGAATGCGAGCCTCGCCAGACGTCAATCTGAGTATGCGGGATGCGTCGGGTGGGCCAAGAATGAAAATGTAGCGGGCGTGTGCTTTCACCAGTTCCTGTGCCCGTTTTTGGGGCCGTCTTGAGGCTCTCGTGGGCTGTCTTGGCCGCCTCTTGGGCCTGTTTGGGGCCCGGGGGCATCTTGGGCCGTCCTGGGGCGGTCTTGGCGCCCCCTGGGGCTGCCTTGGAGCGTCGGAAGCTCGAAAAGCGATCACGTGAAGAAAAGCATTGAAATAAAAAGAAAATCCATACTGCGTGCAGATTTGGGCCCTTTGGGGGGTCCTATTCGAGCGCCTTTGGGGCTTCTCTGGGGTCTCTTAATCCGTCTTGGGTCCATGCTGGGCGCATTGAAGCGCTCTGGTAATAGGGGCGATGCAGGGGGTGGCCCTTAGAAGATTTAAGAAACCCTGCCAGGCAGCCCTTGGCATTTCTCTACGCCTCAACGCGCCTCAGGCACGGTGGCGGATCAGTACAGCAAATGATGTATGCTACCACGCCGCGCTGCATATCACGCATGTATGTCTTGCAACCGATGCGTCTACAATCAGTGAGCGCACAGCTGAACCACACAATGTTTTGGTCCCCAGCTCCTGTCTTATTAAGGAGACCGAGCACTTTCGTTTGTTGGCCTGGATGGGTTTCTGCACTGGCATCGTTTGGCTAGGTCGATGCATGTGCGGTTCAATATCTAAGAACCCGACACAGCGAGCGTGCGCCGAGAATTTGGGGAGACCCCAGCTCGAAGCAGGTGCTCCCGTACAGGGGGGCACGAGGTCCTCCAAGGGCGGAGTAGCGAATGCGGTTGGGTTACCGCTAAAGCCAAGCAGTGCCCACCAGAGCTGGGCGCCTTCCTGGCGTGGAACGCGGGTGTCTTCAGCCAGAACGACAGGCGCGCCGCCCGGGGAGAGGAGGTCAAGGTTGGCCAGGGTGAGGCCGAGGAGTCCCACCACCACCCTCTTCCCCCCTCTCTATGCACTGCCCCAATCGACCCCTATCTTGCCTCGCACAGCTGGGGGCGGACCGGCAGAGTCGGGTAGCAGAAGGAGGTCAGACCTGTTGCATGGTCGCGTCAGAATGCACGCTTGCATGCTGCAGATTCAACTTCGATGAATAACAGTAAAACAGAACAGGAGGAGGAGGACGAGGAGGAGAAGGAGGCGCGGGAGGAGGAGGAGGAGGAGGAGGAGGAGGAGGAGGAGGAGGAGGAGGAGGAGGGGCGAGGAAGACGAGGAGGAGAAGGATGAGGAGCAAGATGACGAGGGTCGAGGAAGAGGAGGAGGAGGAGGAGGAGCAGGAGGAGGAGGAGGAGCAGCAGCAGCAGCAGGAGGACGAGGAGGAGGAGGAGGAGGAGGACGAGGAGGAGGAGGAGCAGGAGGAGGAGGAGGAGGAGGAGGAGGAGGAGCAGGAGGAGGAGGAGGAAGAGGAGGAGGAGGAGCCAGGAGGAGGAGCGAGGAGGGCCACACCGCCCCCGCCGCCCTGCGCCGCGCTCGGGGGCACCCGGCGGCGGGCCATGGGCAGCACCGCCTTCCAGGGGTGGAAGAGCGAGCCCGGGCCCGCCGGCACGGAGGCCGGAGCTCGCCTGCGGGAAGGGCGGGGAGGGAGCGCCGTTCAGGGGCAAGGACGATAGGGTTGTGGAGTTCAAGTTACTGGAGAGGAGGCGTGCTGCCAAATATGTTCCAGATGTCTGACAGATATTTCAATGGTTTAATATAAAAAACTTCAAACCATGTCTGAAGCACTGTTAGAACGTGTCGCACACAGGTTCAGCACATGTGTAATTCAATGATGGGATCGCCAGAGTGTCCATGGTCATGGCATCCACAACGATGGGGGGGGATACGCATTGGGGAGGACGCGTCGACCCCCAATCGCCCACGGATCGCCGGCAGGGGCCCGAGAGCCCCAGCATGCCCAGGAAAGTTCGGAGGTTGATGGACCGAAAGGGAGGTTTGTCCACCGCCGAAACGTGCGAATTCGCTATCGGGGGCCTGTCGCCGATCTGTCGGCGCTGTATCGCCAATTCCAGGTCGATGGTTCCCCCCCTATGCCAGTGCCCCTTATCGTTGCCCCTCAGTCGTGCTGAGGGTCAGAGGGAGGCGGGCTGAAGCAGCGGCAGTTGCATGTCGGGGGGCAGCCAGGCTCGGAATTTCAGACGCAGGGTCGAGGCTCGAAGTGGGATTCCAGTCTCGGGACGCGTTCCAGCAGCTGCACCTCGTCGAGAGCGTCTTGGGGGTTGCTCTGATCGTCCCGAACGGCCGCTGGAAGGCCCGGCCACGGCCCGAAAACCCAGCAGGCCATCCCCAGAGGAGGGTCGGCTGAGACAGCGGCAGCTGGCCTTCGGGGGCCCCCGTCGTCGCGGCCGGGGGGCAGCTCGGAAGACTGGTGCGCTTGGAGCGCAGGAGTCCTGTCAGGAGGGGTCCAGGGGCCGATTTTGAGCTGCCGTTGACTCAGCCCCGGCATGCTCCGAGAGAGCCGGGGTCCGTGAGCGCTGCGCGGGCCTCCCACGGCCCACGGGGGAAGTGTTGGGGGGGGCACGCGCAGGCGAGGCACGGCCGGCGGAGCTGTGGCCCTTGCCCCCCCCCTGGGGCGGGCTTTTTCAACTTCGGCACGCCTCTCGAGAGATCGTCAGCGAGATTGATCCCCCGAGGGGGGTAATGCGGGGACGGGAAAGTGACCACAGCCACTGCTTCTTGTTTGCGCCGGCTTCCAGCCGGCCGAAAAAGAAGCAGTGGTTGTGGTTATTTCCCTGGTGCCAATCTTAACGAAAATGATCACAACCACTGCCTTGTTTCTGCTGGCTGGCGGCAACAAAAGAACAGCAGTGGCTGTGGTCGTTTTCGCGTCCCGTAGGGTAAGGATCACGGCTCCTCCAGTTGTGGTCGGCCCGACGTGCGGGCGGAGCTGGCTGCGGGGTCTCTTTGTTGCGTTTCCCTCCAACTGGGCCCTCGTCGCAGGTTCCGTGGCCGGCCTTGCCATCGGCGGCGTTCGCGGAGCTCCCTCTCCCACGACCTCCCACTGCCACCCTCAGGTTGTCCATCGTCCTCCTGGGGGGGGGGGGGGGGAATCTTGGACGTCGCCGATCGTCCTCCCGGGGGGGGGGGGGGGGATCTTGGACGTCGCCGAAAGGACCATGGCGGCGGCATGATTTCGACCGAACAGGGACACCTGGGCCTCGATTGTTGCCCGCTCGAACGTCCGATTGTCATCCGACCTCAACCACATGGTACAAGTGCGACTACTGCAGCCCACCTCGGACGGAGCCCTCCCGAAAAAGAGGCGTCGTTCGTCTAGGGGAGGCCCGGATTAGTAGGCCGACCCTGCCAAATCAAGGGTGCCTTTGTGTCCTGTGTCTCGCGGCCCGTGCCTCCCGCATTCCTATGGCCATGTGGCTCCCGGAAGGGTCTCCTGTCCTCTCGCGCGTCCTGTCCAATGAAGCCCGACTGCAGGGGAGGCAGGTGTGAGGCTCTAGGCCTCCTAGATGGGGTCGGAGTAGATGGGGTCGGAGGATCACGCCGCATCGCGGGTGCATCGGCGACGCGGCTGGATGTGGAGCCCGATTTTTTTCACGTCGACGTCGCCGCTGCATCGCCCACGTCGCCGTTGCATCGCCGATGCATCGGCGATGCGGCGCGGCCCTCCGACCCCGCCTGCTCCGACCCCACCTGGGAGCCCTCCTGGAGGCGGAGGGGAGAGGGGGCGGGGAGAGGACCACCACATGCTGAAGAGGAAGGCTAGGGTTAGGCCGACCCGACCCTAACCGAAACCTTGGGATTACATCCTACATCGCCGCCCCTTCCTTGAGGAGCTGGGCTGCAGGGAAGGGCTGGGGGGGGCGGGGAGAGGCGAGGGAGGGGCCCGCGGAGGAGGAGGGAAGGACGCAGAAGAACGGCGTGGGCGGAACAGGCCCGGGGCCCCGCCGCTCGTCGCTCTTCCGCCCTCCTGCCCTCTCCTGCGCGCGCGCCTCCGTGCTCGCCCGCCGAGCGCGCACGGCCGGGGGCCCCCCCCGCGGCGGGGCTGTCTTGGGCAGCGGCCGCTGCCGGCGGCGCCCGGGGCGCCGTTCGGCCCCGTGCCGTCTCGCCGGCCCCGTTCGGGGAGGGGAAAAAAATCACAGAGAGACGCAATGCATCGCCGACCCCCCAGGATATGAGCCCAGAAAAGATGGGAACAGATGGGGCATCTTGCTGTTTGTGTCTGTTTCTTCGTGTGTCCCAGGGCCCCTTCACCCATGCCGTTTCGCTGCCATCCCTCGGCGAGGGCCACCGTCCTGAGCCTGACGTGCTGCTTGGGCCCGGCGCTCGCCGATCAGCGCACGCCTCCGAGATGGCTCCAACGCAGGCAGGCGCACCAAGACAGCGAAGGAGTGTTGACAAGCAGCGCGCACCGGATCCGGCTGCGCCCCCGCGCGTATCTGCCACCGCGCTTGGGGAGGCTGCACAGCAGTGCTGCGGCGTGGCACCGCCCCTGCGTTGGCAGGTCGCGATGCATCCCGGAGCGGGGGATCGTTCTGGGGCCGTTTCGGAGTCCCGCGGGGGCCTCCTGCCGCAGGCATGCCAAGTAAGATGCCTGCCCTCCTCCTCCTCCTCCTCCTCCTCCTCCTCCTCCTCCTTCTCCTCTTCGATACCTTCTTATTCCCCGATGGGCCCGACGACCCCTGGAACTCCCTGCGAAGCTCAAGTTCGTTGAAGGATGTGCCCCGAGATTTCTTGTAGCAAGACTTGCCGTATGCAAGGCCGGGTGTCGCAAGAACGACGGGGTGACTTACTTTCCAGTTTCGGAGCCCCGTTCTCAATTCTCATCGGGGGGGCTGCATGCTACCCATTGTGGGATAACGCTCTGCGGCGTGACAGCGAGGCACCTGTGCCTTGTCATCTCTCGAGTGTGGTATGCGTACTTCTCACTTGCTGGTGAAGATTTCACGAAGTGGCCCTCACTGCTGCTTATTTTTGCACAGTTTACAAAATGTGCACTGCATCTCTGAGGGTTGCCGGGGGGAGGGGCTTGGGGCGAACGGGCAGGTCTTGAAGCCGTCTTGGGGCGTCGTCGGGTTATCTTCGGGGGTCTCAGGGCGATCTCAGGTTGGTCCTGGGCCGTTCTGGAGCCGTCTTGGGTTGGTCCAGGGCCGTCTTGGTTGCCTCCGCGGAGCGTCATGGAACGCCAGAGCGCTTTCCGAGGCACCCAAAAAGGTCTTCTGGAGATGTACGGGAAGCAGTATTGAATCCAAAGGGCCGCATGGTAGCAACATCCTGCTTATTGGATGAGGCTGGCGAGCTCTTTGGAGACAGGTTACAGGGACTTGTTTGAAGTCTTCGTGCCACTTTGAACTTTCCGGCAGGCGTCGGAAGGGGTCTGGAGGCAGTCTTCGGAAGTCTGGGGGGGGGGGGCATTCTGCAGGAAATTGGGAGGCCAGTGCAAGAGCCGTGTGTTGTTGCGGACGGTCCCAGGGCTGGCGGAGAAGCAGTCCTCAGAGCCCAGGGGCCGCCCTGGGACCGTCGGGGGTCCACGAACCACCCCGCCGCAGGAGCCACGAACTGCCCCACCGCGAGCGGTGCTTCGCCACGATGTTTCACCTGGAAGGTGAACAGCCTGAGGATTCAGAGCCGAAGCAGGGTTGCGGCAAGCACCAGCCATGGCAAAGCGTGGCAGTAGACAAAACGAACACGAGCTACGAGGTTCAACATCACGAGCGGTCAACATCAGCACCAGTCATCATCATCGCCACCAGCGTGGCCGCCGCCCCCCCCCGTGGCCCCGGGCAAGGCCGAGCTCCTCCTGAGGCACCCGAGGGTGCACTGGCAGGGCTGGGGCTGCTCGCTGGCCTGGTGCGGCAAGGCGCTCGGCGGCTCGGAGGGTGCCGAGGCCGCGCGCCCGTGGTGCAAGGGCGCCCTCGAGGGCGCGAAGTTATTCGCGCTTCGCGCTTCTCGCTTCGGCTCCCATTCCTCCTCCTCCTCCTCTTCTCCCCTGGGAGGCGGCGCGAGAGCGCGAAGTTATTCGCGCTTCGCGCTTCGCGCAGCGCGAAGCGCGAAGTTGGGAGCCCTTGGTGGTGCTGATTGTGTGGGCGCTGGGAGGGTGATGAGCACGACTGACTGTGTTTTGGACGCCCGAAATGGGTACGGAAAGAATGGGTACGATGCCCAACAGCAGTTCCTGTTCATTTTGAACAGGACTCGCTGTCCACCCCGCCGCGGCCTGTGTCCATTCGAGACAGAAGGCCGCCTGCCCAACAGCGGCCGCTGTTGGATTGGGGCAACATTTGTTGTTGGGCATCGTACCCATTCTTTCCGTACCCATTTCGGGCGTCCAAATGTGTGTGCCCGTGGGCGTGCCGGTGTGTCTCCTCTCGTCTTGCCGTCTATAGTGTCCTTTGCTTCTCCTGCTGTCGCCCTTGTGCCGCCGCTCTCCGGGCCTCTTTCCTTCCGGTCCGCTGCCGCTCCGCCCGGCCTGCACGCTTCCATCGGGTCGGGCGAAAGGGGGGGATTGGGAAAGGGGGGGTTACGTACGAAATTTGCTGCATGCAGCTGGTTTCGGCCCCGCCGAGGGGCCCATTCCTCGATGCATGGCCGCCTCCGGCGCCGGGAGGCGCCGGGAAAATCAGCTGCGCGAGCCAATTCTCAAACCCCCCTTGTGCTATCCCCCCCTTTCGCCCGACCCGATTCAAGCCACTCTCATCCATGTCTCCACCGACTGGAGCCGCTGTGTCGCAGAATATGCAGCTGCCAGCCGAAAAAGTGCATGCTCGTGTGCATCCGCTCAGATGCACATCTTCCCGAAACGGCACGCTACGGGAGACACCCGCTTGGCACATTACACGCGGCACGCGTTCGCCTATCCCAGGGGCCGGGAAGCGAGGGACGACGGAGATGACTCCTCGGGGGGTCCGAGAGGAGGAGGAGGGCTAGGAAGCTGCGGATATCATGGCAGGGGCAGATAATATCCCGCAGATGTCATACCCCCCATCCGTCTTCTTTCAGTACGTCCCATGGTTCTCCCCCGCCTGTCCACGCACGTGCCGCGGGCCACGATGTGCTAACCTTCCTCTCCCTGCCCCCCCCTCTCAGCGCACCCGAACTCTTGGCCCCCAGCCCCGCCTTGCCTCTGCTCCCTCGCGCTCTCGCTGCTGAATCGGCGGCCTCTGCGCCGCCACCCTCGGCAGCAGCTGCCACTGTGCTCGTGCCGAAGCGCGCGGTCCTGTTCGCCACGGCGCGCGCCTCGCAGAATACAGGCTTGGGCGTTGTCCTTCTTCATCTTCCCCCGCTTTGGCTGGCGCAGATAAGAGAGATTGATTGAAAAGAGGTGGCGACAGGCTCGGACGCTGGCGGACTGCGACTGCACCAGTGGGGGGGAGGTGGACTTCCCCCCACACTCTGGGGAGGGGGCGGGCGGAGGCAGAGGTTCTTGAAGTAGGGGCGGAGGAGGGGCGCGGGGTGGGGGGGGGCAGTTTTCTGCGACCGCTGTACCCTGAAAGCGCCAGCCACCTTGCCGAGCTCGGCGTCGCGCACGAAGAGCAGGCCGCCGCCACCTCTGACGGCCTTGCACCACAGATGGGGACGGTGGGCCACCGTAGCCATTCTGGCTCTCGTCCAGCGCAGCGGCGCTGGGGTTCCCCCGATGGGAAGGAGCCCGCGCGGCGGCCGCCTCGTCCCCGTGGCCGAAGAGCCATGGGCCATGCAGTGGGAGCTCAGCGGCGCCGACCTGAGAGCTGGAGCGCAGCTAGACTCGTCCGAGTTCACTCTGAGTGCACCCTGGTTCTCGGCTCCTTTGGCCGTGACGTGCCATGCCGAGCTCAGGGCAGACGGGACCCTCAGGTGGTCCGTCGGGCTCCCTTCTGGGACGAAGGCGCGCTGGTTGCGGTGGATCGGCCCTGTGCGCCCATCGTCTGGCTGGGGCATCGACTTCTGGGACACCGGTGCGCTGGAGGTCAGCGACACATGGAGCCCTCATGACCACGAGCGGGAGGGGGAGCTGGTACTGGGCGTCGCGATGCTGAGTTTGGAGCTGCCAGGCGACCGGTCGCGGCTGCCAACCGCAGAGGGGCGCCTTCGGCTTGGCGAGAAGGTTGGCGCTGGAAAATTTGGCTCCGTGTTCGAGGCAGAGGACTGCCTCGACCAGGGTGCCAGGCTCGTGGCCAAGGCCCAGGACAAGTACTGGGCAGCCCTGGAGGAAGTCCAGTTAATGCAATGGGTTTCGTCGAGGAAGTAAAACGACATCTGTATAAGCCGTTGGAGGTCCGCTCGGATTTCTTGGATCAGCGCTGGACCCCCCCCTCCCTGGCGAGCGGAGCGCGCCAGGGGCGGCATTGAAGGCGCCGCCAGGGGGCCCAGCGCTGATCCAAGAAATTTGCGCGGACCTTCAACGCTTATGTTCATGCTGCTGTTCCTTCTTCTGCTTCGCGCCGGCAGGGGCGGCTGCCCCACGTCCTCTCGGCGGTTCAAAGAGGGGGCCCTGAGGGCTGGGGGCCCTCAGAGCAGGGGGTGGATCACGAGCGAAGCCTTCACTGTTAGAGGTTCTCATCCTTAGGGCCCCCATCCCCGAAGGGCCTCGGCTTCGGACCGCCGGTCCTCGGGCTGTTCGCCGGGGAGGGCGGCTCCGTGCTGCTGGCCATGCAGAGGCTGCGCTGCAGCCTCGAAGCGTTGCGGCGGGAGCCGGCCAGCACTCTGAGGCCTGAGGAGGTCAGGACGGTGGGCATTCGGGCCATCCGCAGTCTCCAGGGGCTCCACGAGTGTGGCGTTATACACCGGGACGTCACGCCCAGCAATCTTATGGTAGGCGCCGAGATGAGCAGTACGGGTATTGTTGGCCCGATCTATCTTGTGGATTTCGGCTTGGCACGGCATTTCCGGGTCGCGGGACAGCGAGTCGATTTGACGAAGAAGTGGAGAGGCGACGCTCGACCGGTCATCATCGGCTCCGTGCGCTTCTGCTCCGTCCGTGCTCACCAGGGCCTCCACGAGCCGATCAACGATTTGGAGAGCTTGGCTTACGTTCTTATATCGCTCGCAGTGGGCACTCTGCCCTGGGAGGAGTGCAGAGGAAGCACCAAGTACCTGCGCAACGACAGCATATTCGAGGTCAAGAGGGACGCGGCGCGCCTCGAGGCGCACGTGCGCACGGGCCTCGCCGCCAGCTCCCGCGAGCTGGCCGAGGCCCTGCTGGCGCTCGTGCAGCACTGCTGGGATTCGCCGTGCCCGGACCCCGACTACGCGCGGCTGATCGCCATCCTGGAAGCCGCTGGGCAGCCACCGTTGCGTGGCACACACGTCGCGACGGACGATGTGCTTGTCCTATAAAAGAGATGAGGGCGGCAGCCCACTCGACCGTTCAGCTCCCATGGCGCCCGGTGAGCAGCAAGCTGAGTCATTGTCTGTGGGAGCCTTCATCGCCTCCGTGCCTGGCTGTCAGGGTGCATTGGGCCCTTGTGCATGCCTAACGCTCCAGAGGTGAGGAAGAGGAAGAAGAGCGTCCAATGGTTTCAACGAGACGTGTTTGGTCTCTGGGGGTCTTTGCTGGTCTCGCGCCTGTCACGCTTGGTCAACTTTCCCCGGCACACAGTGCAGCTTCTCCACAGCAGTCGTGCACAAGGAGGGCGAAGATCACCGACGTCACAGCGCTGAACGTAATGAACAGCTTCAATTCTTCGCTGTTTGGCCGCGCTGCTTGTAGGCCAGTCCCAGTGGCGGCTGATGCTCCCAACCATCCTCCTGTCCCTCCCCCCTCTCCTTCCCCTCATCCCCCTGCTCTGCCTTCTCCTCCCTCACCATCGGGCTCCCCCCCCCCCCTGGCCAGGCATGGGCGGACCTCCTCTTCACGCTGCACGACGTGGGAGTGGAGCGCCTCTGGCCAGACCCCAAGTTCGCGGACCAGTGTCCACAAGGCCACGCCGCCCAGCCCCCTTTTTTCCGCCCAGGGGCGCGGGCAGACGGCGTGTACGCACTTCCGAGCAGCGCCGCGCACGCGGAGATCTGGGGCGGGGCGCGAAGACGATCGCACCTCGTGCTGCGCGGTCTTGGCGCGAGGGTAGTCGCCATCCACTCATTGGATCGGGCAGCTTGGCGTTTGTTTCCAGGCCTCCCAGACGGTGTCCGAGCAGGTGGGGTCCGAGAATCATGCCGCCTCGCCGATGCATCGGCGATGCGGCTCGACGTGGAACCCAATTCTCTCCACGCCGATGCCGCCGACGCATCGCCGACGTCGCCGATGCATCGGCGATGGGACTCGATCCTCCGACCCCATGTTCTCGGATCCCATTTCGGAGGCCTCTATTGTTTGAGATATTTCGAGATGGCATGGCATACATGCAACTGTGTTTTGAACTGAAGGCCCGGCGAAAACACCCAGCACGTCCAGTGCATTGCAGCAGCCAGCTGTTCAGGGCCAGTCAAGCTTTTCGTCGAGACTCAGGACGCTCCAGAAACATCACCAGGTACATGCTATCATTGCCGCCACGTTTGTCACCATCGTCGCCGGCGTTGTCTAGTGGCCTTCGGCCCATCCCTGCAACGTGCCCAGATTGTGGGCCAGAGGCCTCTTGGATGCTTGTTGAGGCCCCTCGGGATGCCGTTCGGGGGCTTATTGGAGGCCTCTTGAGGGGGCGCTTGGGGCCTCGGGGGGGCCTCTGGGGGGACTATGGGAGGCCTCTGGGGGTCCTCTTGGGGCCCTCGTGGCGCGTCTTGGGCTCTTATTGGGCCATCTTGAGGCCATCTTAGGCGTCTTGGAGCGCTCCTGGGCCATCTAGAGCCCCCTTTGGATAGTCTTGGAGGTTTCTTGAGGACCTGTTCACAAGTCTTGGCGGCGTCCATCCTCAACAAAAAGGCACGCGACTCCAAGCGAGCGTCTTGAGAAATCGGTCAATTGGATTTCTGGTCCCCTTGAAAAGGTCGTGCGATAATTGAAAATTTAGTGTTGAGGGCTCTTGAGGACCTGAGGGCACTTCACTCAGTGCCTCGTTGCACGCTGGCGAATATTTGCCATTCTCTTCAGTGTTGTAGATTGGTAACTATTCGCGGAGGAGCAAGGTGGAACTCCTTGTCCGCCAAGTGCGGCTCATTGACTAACCTGCCCGGTAACTACTTTACGGACGTCAACCGGCAGCCCGGGAACACAGTTTGGGCCGGCCTCGGCCGCGGGCACCCGCAATCGCAACATGCAGCACATTTTGAGCCGCAGTCGCGCCCGCAACCGCAATCGCACCTGCAACCGCAACCGTGGCCGGGCGACTGTTTGATCTGCGGATTTAAGTTGCGATCGCTACTTTGCACAAATGACCCGGCCATTCTTCAGAGCAAAGTGGAGGAACTCACCTAACAAGATTGGCATCGACGATCTGTCCGAACGATGGCTATCAACAGTTCTTTTCGGGAGAGCGAAGCCTCGAGAAGTACGTCGGGGATAACCTCCTCAAGTTCGGGTTCTCAGGCCACAGCCTCCACGCCGTGCCCTACTTCCCTAACGTGCACAGGCGGGCTCCTTCGCGGAACGCGCACGACTCGACTCTGGCGTTCGCGTCGTTTCACTTTGATGTGGTTTACATGTGTATTTACATTTTCATACATATACAAACATACATACATACATACATACAGACAGACAGACAGACAGACAGACAGACAGACAGACAGACAGACAGACAGACAGACAGACAGACATACAGAGGATTGCGGTATGTGCGGCCCTTCTCTTTCTCATCCATCCCCCCTCCACCACTACATTCCTATCTCTTCTCCTTCTTTCTAGTGGATTGGGCACCTGGGCGGAAAGGAAACGCGGGGGGAAAAGAGGGAAAGGGCCGCGGATGGCCAGAGGGCCCTCAGAGCATGGAGCTGTTCGGATTGTGCCGGAGCAGGCTCAGGCTCTCGTAGTTGTCAGTGCGTCTCACTTCCAAGACGTTCCAAGATGGCTTCAAGAGAGCCTCCAGCCAGGCTCGAAGAGGCTCAGTGGGATGTTCGCATTTTCGCCTTTTCGAGCTTCCGACGTCCGAAGACGACCCAAGAAGCCACCAGGACTGGCCCAAGACGGCCCAAGAGGGCACCAAAACGGACCAAGAGGGCACGCCCCCCGAGGCGCCCAAGACTGGGCCCCAAGACTGGAGTGGTATTGCACATCCAGGTAAAGGAAATACGTCGTGCAAAGGTCCGATGAGCGTCAGTAACGGAGACGCCCACTTGATTTGCAATGGCACGATCCAGGGAGTAAAGCCATCAGCGACGAAGGCGTCACCTGAAAGCGATCCTGGGCGGCACTCTTTGTGGCATCCAGAGGCACGACCAGCTTCTGCATTCAGCCAAGGGCAGTCAGGAACGGCAAGTGGCCATCCGGTGGCAAGTTTGCGCGACGTGCGTTGGATCAGGGAGGGGGAACCCATGACAGGGCAACACACGATGCACACCACCGCCTTCGGGCAACACATTGCGGGCCGCGGACCCCCGAAGCCGCAACCACAGCCGGGCAACACATTGTGGACTGTGGGCCCCAGCAACCGCAAGCGGGAAACACGTGTTTGGCGACATGTTCCCGCAACCGTGACTGAGCAACACACGATATACACAACCGCCTTCGTGCAGCACATGTTGGGCCGCGGGCGCCCGTGACCGCGCCCTCACACGCAACAGGGCAACACAGATTGGGCCGCGGACACCCGCATCTGCACCCGAAGCCGCAATCACAATCGGGCGGCACATATTTGGGCCGCGAGCCAGGGCACCCGCATCCGCATCTGGGCACACATTCTGGGCCAAGGGATCCCGAAACCGCAGCCGCAACTAGATAGCCTCCAGAGACGTCGTCTATGCTTGCGTCCGGGATTATTCAAGCTCAAGTTGGCGCTTCCCAGTTAGCATAACCATCATCCTGCCGTCATCTTCATCACAAACACTATCATCATCACCACCACCGCATCATCGCCAGCGCCACCACCATCATTTCCATAGTCTTCGTTACCACCATCAACATTCCCACTACTCGCTGTGCCCCTTTTCACCGTAACCGCTGTGAGCAGGGGTTGGGGGCTTGGCGTTCGTCCACTTGGACATGACAGCGGGAAAGTGTTTGCCCTGACGTTTACCATCCCCTCCCATACCCTTCTTTTATCAGCTGCAAGCTGGTCTACTAAGTTGATGTTTTTCGAAGGTCAAGCATCTAGCTTAGGAGAAAGACGAGCACAAAGTACTTGAAGTGTCTTAGCTGCCGCTGAAGTTCCGAAACCACTTAGGCGACATGCAGAGACATGTGCGCGAAAAACCAGTGACCGAAAGAACGACGTGCTAAGCACAATGCTGTTGCTCATGTCGTCGTCGTGCGCGCTCACAGGCGGGGGCGGGCGGAGCGGTACCCGTGTTGGCTCAGGAACTATACCAGGGCTTGGTCTCAACGTCGTTCGCTACAACGTCGGCGGAGTCGGGCGCGTTGAGGAACCTGTTGGGGGCATCGCGCATCAGTACAGGAGCCATAAGCAGAATACGAGGATCTGGAGGAGGGGGCAGGCAGATGAAGAGGAAGGGCGAGAAGGAGTGGGGCTACAGCAGAGGTCAGGGAAGGATCAGGATAGAAGGGAGGGAAGCAAGAGTGTGCAGGCTGGAGATTGGCATCGGAGCCGCGCTGTGTCCTCTCCCTCTCCATCCTCTTCCCCCCCGTTCTCCCATTCCTCGTGCTCCTCGTCCTTGTCCTCCCCGCCCTCCTCTGCCATCTCCTGACGCTTCACGACGGACCGCGGGCGCTCTCCCAGCAGTTGCGCCCGACCTCTCCCGGAGCTGCCCCGTCCCTCTGCCGTGGCCCACGGGGGTGCTAGCGGCCCCTGGCCTCGACGAGCCCGTGGTGACGACGGACGGCCCAGCACACGCTCTCAACGAACCCTCCGACCGGAGCTGCCACGCCAGCCCCCAAACCAGGCCCCATGCGGTGATCGCGGCCCGTGGCCTCGACAAGCCTGCAGCTGCCACGGGCGACTCCGACGCTGGTGCCCCCCCCCTTCCTCCTCCTCCTCCTCCTCCTCCTCCTCCTCCTCCTCCTCCTCCTCCTTCTCCTGCTCCTCCTCCTCCTCCTCCTCCTCCTCCTCCTCCTCCTTCTCCTGCTCCTCCTCCTCCTCCTCCTCCTCCTCCTCCTCCTCCTCCTCCTCCTCCTCCTCCTCCCCCTCCTCCTCCTCCCTCCTCCTCCTCCTCCTCCTCCTCCTCCTCCTCCTCCTCCTCTTCCTCCTCCATTTTGCCCCGCGGCGGGCGCCCGCGCCCCGCCATAGCCCCCAGCCCCAGGCCCTCGCTTGGCGCGCCCGCGGACGCAGGCCTCCCTGCCGCTGCTGCCCCGCACCCTGGTCCGCCCTGGGTGCCCAGCCTCAGGCCGCTTTCGGCCTGGTGTTCGGCACGGAGGAGCAGCCACGGTCGCCAGCTCGGCATCGGAGGCTTCGGCGCCGGAGGTCTGCAGCTCGTTCCTCTTTCCGGGGGGAGCAAGCTCGAGTGCAACTTTTGTGTCACCACGACTCTAGGCCGCCCGTGGTTTTTTTCGTCCCCCTGAAGGCCTCCTGCTTTCAGCGCAGGCCTGTGTACTCCCGCTGGGTGGCGTTGGTGCCCTTTTTTGGCCTCCCGAAGGGCATCCTGGCACATTGCCACGTACGCCACCAGCGGAGCAGCTACTTTGAGTCACCCGGATCCTCCGCAGCACCTTGGACAGTTGAGGAGAACAGCGGGGCCATGCTCGCTCCACTCCTCGACGCCTGGTCAAACCCTCGCAGGCCTTCACCGTCAGGTAAAACTGGCTTAGGGTTCGGGGCAGAGCGGAAGGCCCTCGGGCAAGGCCGCCTCCTTTCGTTGGCCCATGGGATGACGTCCCGAAAGCAGTTTGTTGAGACCATCACTCCTGCCCCCTCTCTTGGGAGGGCCTTGGCATTGTGAGGGCAGTTTCGTTACAACATACTGTGTATAGAAATAGGAGCATCTCTGGTGCACGCCACAGCCATGGCGTGCGATTAGTGAATACGCTCGAGACCGAGCCGAAACGCGGAACCGAAAGGCTGGCAGGTTTCGCGCTCACGAGCAACAGCCGCCTCGTAGGTACGAGCGAATTCGACGCATGAAGCGCAACAATACTTGACTACTTTGCTGAGCAGCTCCTGAAATGACTGGGTCTTATTTGGAAGTTTGGCTCTCTCGCTCCTGGGCCTGTTCTTCTGAACGAGGGCCGGGACGCGAGGCGCGAACTTGGCCACGGCCTTAACCGTGCGAATATTATCTTGCAGCTCTGCAAGGGCTGCAGGACCAAATGAGGCGCGACAGGCGAGCGCATCCTTGGCCAGTAAGTCTGCAGACTTGTTACTCTCGGCAGAAATCTTAGCTTCACCCCAGAGCGAGGACATCTCTTGATGGCGCTTGACTTTGATCGCCTCCGTTAAACAGTGCCTGCTGCCTGGCGCCAGCTCAAACATGCGAAGTCCTGAATACTTCAGCTTGCCGCTTAAACGCTGAGGGAGCGGCATGGCGTGCTGATCTAGAACCGCTTTGCGGTCGACCCAGGCTCTAGCGGGCTCTGCGAGGGCCCTTTGGAGCACAAGGAAATCCATATGTTCGCCCGCTTGGGCAGTATGATGACAGTGTCTGTCGTGACGGGCAAATTTGAGAATGGGTTTTTCAGCAGGGATGGGGGGGATTGCCGCGTTGCTCGCGTGGGTGCTCAACAACCCCACAGGGGTAGAGCGGGCTGTCCACGGGCGCCTCGAGCGCGGCCTGGAGCACACCTGGCGGCAGCATCTCTGTCCTGAGGGCAACTGTGTCAGAGTGCAATCTGCTGGTAGTAGTCGCTGGTATTGCGCGGCCACTCGACAGCGCAGGCTCGCCAACAAAAAAAACAAGTCGAGTCAGCGGCGCCATCTGTGCTGGCGGGGCCGACAAGGGCGCCCAGATCTTGCAGGAGCCACCCCGCCAGGACAGCAGCGCCGCGCGCGATCCTCACCAGACACGCGCAACCCCCCCCCCCCCCCCCCCCACCACACACACACGCACACAACACACACACACACACACACACACACACACACAACACACACACACACACCACACACACACACACACACACACACACACACAACACACACACACACACACACACACACACACACACACACACACACACACACACACACACACACACACACACACACACACACACACACACACACACACACCACACCACACACCACACCACACACACACTCCACACCACACCACACCACACCACACCACCCACACCACACCACACACACCCACCACCCACCCCACCCCACCCACCCCACCCACCACCACCCCACCCCACCCCCACCCCACCCCACCCCACCCCACCCCCCCACCCCACCCCCCCCCCCCTCCACCCCCCCCCCCCCCCCCCCCCCCCCCCCCCACACCACCCCCCCCCCACCCCCCCCCCCCCCCCCCGCCACCCCCCCCCCCCCCCCCCCCCCCCCCCCCCCCCCCCCCCCCCCCCCCCCTCCCCCCCCCCCCCCCCCCCCCCCCCCCCCCCCCCCCCCCACACACCCCCCCTCCCCCACACACACCACCCACACCACCCACAACCACCACACCACACCACACCACAACCACACCACACACACACACACCACCACACCACACCACACCACACCACCCCACCCCACCCCACCCCAACCCCCCACCCCACCCACCCCACCCCACCCCACCCCACCCCACCCACCCACCCCCACCAGGAGAGCAGCTTCCTGATGAGACCGACCTCACCACCAAGGCTCGAAGAGCCTTGCAGGGATTACAACAGGGCGAGGACAATGAGCTGGTCATCAGCGCCAAGAAGCAGCTTGCCGCAGCCGAAGAGCTCGAGCGAGCAGGGCGCACACCTGACGATCTGTTACCACGGGCTCTTGACCGACATGCGGCAAAGAAGAAGGAGCACGATGCACTGGCACGGACCGTCGAGAGTTCGCAAGGGGAGTTCACCACCAAGAGTGCGGAGCTCGTTGTTTCCAAGAGTGGGCTGGCAGCGATCAACCTCGAAGTTGGCGTGGCTCGTTCGGCTGCTATGGAAGCTAGCAACAATGGCCCCACGGCGCGGCGGCCGCCGCGCCAGCGGCAGCTACAGCTGGCAACGCGGCCATCGCGATGGCAGCCATGCAGGAACACATCGGCGAGCTGCACCCAGCGTTTGGGAGTCACGAGCGAGCAGCAGCACAGACGTTCACCGCGAATCATGCCAAAGGGGCGGGCAAAGGGCCCGCGCCCGGCATCCCCCATCATCCACGTGCCCCGCGGGGCGCCCAGATTGCCGGAGATCTCGATGAACCCGCCGAGGCAGACGGCGAAGACGGCATGGGCATTGAAAGAGAAATTTGGCCAACAGGCAATGGCGCCCCGACAGTTTGACTTTTGCAGTTCTGGTTCCCCGCAGCGAGAGTCAAGCGGCAATGTCGTTGGCGCGGTGCTGGGTGACAGTAAGACCTGGTCTCGCTGGGCCTCTCCCTCGGCAGTCTACCATTGATGGCGGGCTACCTTTGGAAGGGGGGGGCAGTGGTGCCTCCTCTTCCATGGGCAGTGCAGCCTTCCACAGGAATGGGCCTGCGTGCTCATCTACCTCGCCCGCTGGTTCCGCAGCATCAAGTTCGGCCTCGCGCGCTCGGTTATCTGCGCCGGGCCCATCTGGGATGAGCCGAGCGGTCCACGATGCCCATCGCAGCCCATGGCTCTTGGGTCGGTCTCGGCCCCTTCCGCAGGTCTTTCACATTGGCGCGAGGGGCGCGCCATTCGCCCTGGCCCCGCGGACGCGGCTCCCCGACCTACGGGGGGGGCGCGCGCGGCGGCGAGCGGACCTCGAGGCGCCCGCGAAGACGACCCCCCAAGAGCGCCGGCAAACGGGAGCTCGTGATTGCCACGTTCAGCGCCAGTGGACGGCCTCAAGCACGCGGCTTGCTCGACAACTCATCACACATAAGGGGCGGCCATGATTCAGGAGCTCAAGCAACGAGGAGACGAACTTCTACGCGCACAGGGGCAGGGGCCCGAGCGCGCGTGGAAGCAGTTCCCCACCGGGGACTTCGAAGGCGAAACAGGCAGGTCCAAAGGTGGCGTTGGTGTCTTTATTTGCTCACACATTGCAACCACGATCCTTCCAGATATGTCAAACTCGCACGCGGTGGTGCTTGCGTGATTCGCGCTGGTGCATGCGCGCGCATGCCCTAGAGACATCATTGGTTGGTCTACGTAGAGAAGGGCCAGAAGTTTGCCGAGGCCAATACTACCATACTCGCCAGATGGGCAGCCTCTTGGCCGACTACCGGCTATCATATGCCATTGGGGGGCGATTGGAACTTTGGGCCTGATGTAATTGAGTAGTCGAAGTTGCCAGAGAGGCTAAGAGGGAATGTTGATGCTACAAAAGATGGTACTTATCGTCACCGGACCAGCGG